CGAGCAAAAGTGAGGTGGCGAAGGGACCCAAGCGGGCGATTCACTCGAGAAAGCGCACGACTACGAAGGACTTTGTGAAAGTCTATGCGGACACTTATTTGATGGCAAGGTTATGCGGGAAAAGCGGCTAATTTACAACTCCCACAGTACATATATTTGTTGCGTACTTTTCTTATCATAATATGTTTCGCAAGTTTGAAGTTTGTTTTGGCATGAAGAGGAGAAGAGGTGGAAAAAAAGACGAGCAAAAAAAGACAAGAAACTAGCTCACGACCACACCACACCCCCTCTAATTTACCATCCCTGAAGATCCACTTACTTAACAAATGGCATCACCATGAAAAAGGCATTGGGATTCAATCCTAGGTTGTCCCGACTAATTGTGTCTTTCTTGTGGCTTGGAAGGTCACCAATGTAAAACCACTCTATACTCTGTAAAGCAAGCAAACCAGTGTAGGACATTTATTAATAAATGACTGAAGAAAAAGACTGCACAGAAGACTGATCAAACAATGTGTATTATAAACTGCTTAATAACATTTCGGTTTGCCTTAATCAGGGTATACATAATTTAAGAAAAAAATGTGGTGCTGTGTTTGTAGAAGAGTGGAACACAAAACTAGTTGGGATTTATCAACTGACTTGATAAAATTCATTTACCTCTGTAAGAAGATTGAAAAGCTGACATTTGGAGCACAAGCTCCTTGCCAGACAGAACCAATTTCTGATGAAGGGCAAGCACTCAAAATGTTTTAATCAAGCTATGTGTGGTTTGGCTACCATCCACAATATGCCAAACAAGAGAATCTGAAAATGGCAAGTAACTAATAATTTTACAGCTTTAAGTTTTCTTTTTCCAGTATAGCTGGAAACATACAAAGTGCAATATGTATTGTATTATATAATGTCTATATCAACCTAGTCAACTGCAGGGCCAGATCCAGACCTTGATATAAGGGGGCGGGGCAGTCATCCAGACCCTTAGATAAGTGGGGGGGAGCCTCCCAAAAAAATTGTTTTGGCCTTTCGGGCCTCAGTTTGGTCCATCAGGCCCCCCACACCCCTCCCCTAGATCCCCTACTGAGCTGTTTGATGATAGGTAAATATATGTTAATGATAACTTTATGACACCTATTTTCACCTTAATTTCTCCTCTTGTTTGTGGTTGGAACACTGTTTTCTCAGGAACACCAGGGACAATGTAAAGTCTAACCTAAGGGGAAAATAATTGCGGATACATAATGAAAAGTTTAAAAGTTTAGCCTCTTCAGCTACAATGTATGGAAAAAATTAATAATGATTTAAATATTGACTTTAGAATCCACAACATGCATGTACAGTGGAACCCTGTTAATACGGTCACCAATGGGTCAAAAAAATTGGCCGTATTAACGGGGTGGCCTTATTTTCAGGGCTGCCTCAAATTTCATGACCTGAGGGCCGTAATGACAAATACACCGTACAGCGCATTTGCATTTTTTGAACAACTGTTCTCATTAATAAACAACTGGAATGTAGATATTGCATACAGTACTTAATAATATTGAAAAAACTACTTAAAATTTTCCTTCAAATTTGGCTTTAAAATCACCAAAAAAAAAGAAAAAAGTGTACTGTAGTCTAAAAACAGTACAAGAACAGCCTCAGAGTATTAGGTCAATGAAATTGACATGTCACAGGCATTTTAATTTTCTAAGCTTCGAACAAGTGGCCATATTAACAGGGTGAAATTATAAGAGTTTCTACTGTTTAGGATTTTAAAATGTGGCCATTGGCCGTATTAACAGGTGACAGCATTTACAGGGGTTTTTTATAAGAAAATGTATGGCTGTTTTACCAGGCCGAACAAAGTGGCCATAATAACGAGGTGATCGTATTACCGAGGTGGCCATAAGGCCAGGTTCCACTGTAGTCATTAACATTTATGTTTCTAAACAACAAATTATGTGCCCAGTGACAGTCAAGTTGAACAGTTCTAAGGAAAGTGATCAGATCAATACAAAGTGATTAAATTTCGTAGAACACTACAATGTGTTTGTCTAAGGCTGACAACCTTGTATAGAGACAGAGGAAAATCAGAGGTAACAGTTTATCATCACAGGTGAGAGTATGGGTCACTCTGTTACAGGTAAATAAAACGGACCAATAGTGAATTATCTTTTGGATAGCAATTAGGGAAAGGTCCCTAATTGCTATCCAAAAGATTAAACAGAGGCTATTTTGCTTACTTAACAGGCACTGTTACATTGGAATTCTACAGTACATGTACCTCATTAACTGATATAATAGTACAAACTATGTTGTAGTCATAAGCCTGAAATGGACTTGACACGCAAGCTGGTACAGTGTACATGTATGTCGTTAGCATTAGGATCTTATGTTTTATTACCTGATGATCCTGAAAGTTGTGTTCAAGATATGCATCTGGGTCAGCGAAAAATGACATGTCAAATCCTGTCTCCTCTAAGACCTGCAAAGCAAGTTTGAGACACATGAATAATAAATTAATGTACAGTTGCGATACAAAAACATTCCAGAAACATTTGTGGTGTTTTGGTCAACTGAATTTCACAGTAAGAGTGCTGAGAGTCCCTTAGACTTAAAGAATATACAGTGTATATGTTGACCTCTCACCTCTCTAACAGCACAGTCAAATGCACTTTCATCCTTGTTGACTTTTCCCTTTGGAAAACCCCAGCTGGTCCGGGACATGAATGGCTGCACTAAAACACACTAAAACAAACACAGTACAGATCTGTATCACACAATTATTAATCATGAAAGAAGGTCTGAAGGACCAAGCATAGTCACTGTAAGTTTATAAATCTCTCAGAATTCATGTCATACGAGGATAGCTTGATGCGCTGGGATCTATAGTTGACTTAATTCAAGAAGCTTTCGTGTCCACAAGTTGCCTAGTGACAAAAAACGACAAACAAAACAGCATGATCAAGATTCAGATGTTGTAATTTACCATTAGCAAAAGCATAGTACTCCCCTTGAAAACACCGTTTTTGTCAATTTTTGTGTATTCAGGGTCAGATAGTGACCAGAAAGTGGATTGACTTGGCTCAAATGATATGTTTTTGCAGGATTTCTAGACATGTATGGGTTCCATAGCATACGTTAGACAATTCTAAGTAACAAGGTTTTTGTAGCTTGATAGCATAGCTGTCTCCTAACACACTATAGATCCTGGGTTTGAGTCTCAGCTAAGTTTTTTTCTTCTTCCACTACTTNTACAGTGTATATGTTGACCTCTCACCTCTCTAACAGCACAGTCAAATGCACTTTCATCCTTGTTGACTTTTCCCTTTGGAAAACCCCAGCTGGTCCGGGACATGAATGGCTGCACTAAAACACACTAAAACAAACACCGTACAGATCTGTATCACACAATTATTAATCATGAAAGAAGGTCTGAAGGGCCAAGCATAGTCACTGTAAGTTTATAAATCTCTCAGAATTCATGTCATACGAGGATAGCTTGATGCGCTGGGATCTAAAGTTGACTTAATTCAAGAAGCTTTCGTGTCCACAAGTTGCCTAGCGACAAAAAACGACAAACAAAACAGGATGATCAAGATTCAGATGTTGTAATTTACCATTAGCAAAAGCATGGTACTCCCCTTGAAAACACCGTTTTTGTCAGTTTTTGTGTATTCAGGGTCAGATAGTGACCAGAAAGTGGATTGACTTGGCTCAAATGATATGTTTTTGCAGGATTTCTAGACATGTATGGGTTCTATAGCATACGTTAGACAATTCTAAGTAGCAAGGTTTTCGTACCGTGATAGCATAGCTGTCTCCTAACACACTATAGATCCTGGGTTTGAGTCCCAGCTAAGTTTTTTTCTTCTTCCACTACTTCCTTTTTTTTGCATTTTCTTTTTTCCTTAAAATCTATTATTTCATTCTTCCATAGCTTCATAAGGTTCTGTAAGACACTTATTACTCATACAAGAAAGTACATAAGGACAGAATGACAATATCTTCTGTAACGTATCTGTACTTCACTAATGTTCACCTTATCTAAATTTTGGTTTAATAAAATTGCTCCATAGACAGGGACACTGTATTTATACTTCTTCCAGTTTTCAAACACTTCATCTATGTCTTCTCCAGTTTTATTAAGAAAAGGAAACTGTCGAAAAAGTAATCAGGTTAAGGAAATTTTTAACTACATGAGAGACAATCATCACAATTATTACCCTAATGAGAAAACACATACAATGAAAAAAATTTCTGGGGATATTAAGGCTTGAACGAGACATGCACACTGATGAGTTTGAAGCTGAACCTCAGAAATCCCAGCCATTCAATTGCAAGTCACTAAATATATAACAAAGGATTGATTGAGTTAGAAATAAAGTCCGATCTTTCTGGTCGTCTTTGCCAGTTAGTTTGGCCAAGAGTCCAGAGAGTCAGTAATCCTGTCACTAAATCAGTAACTAAATCCTGAACTTTATACGGAAAAACGCTACAGGCAAAACAAATAATCCATCAGATTTTATATATTGCGTTTGATCACTGACAAATTGTCACGATCAATCGATCATATATTGACGCAAAGTAAATTTAATAAAAGGATATTGATGTTGGTAAAATCTTTAAGGCCGCAAGGCGGAAGATCTGGCTGCTCCTGTCTGTGGAAGTCTACATAAAACCAATGGGCTGTTTCGATCTGAAAACACAATCGAACGATGTCCTTTCTCTCTTCTTCCGGGATGTTGATCAAAAATCGACTGGAGAGGCAGAGAAAGCAAAGGGTGAAAATCAAGAATATCAAATAATTTATAATATCACGTAGCTTCTACTTACCTACAGAGATCTTCCAGAATTGTCTGTGGAATAGCAGAACCAGAGGGAAAGAAAGGAGAATCACTTTCAATCAGTTCGACGTCCTCGGACGCCATCTTTCAAAATGGTGCCAACCTCGTTCCCAAACATAGTGGAGAGGACCTGAGCAGTAGCTTAGCCACCGCGCAATAAATCCATCATGGCGGACAAGCATGAGTTTTGAGGTTACAATATTGAAAAATTCGTGATCACGAAATGGGTTACGGGCTAAAACTTTTGGCTTTATTCTCTTTTGTCTCGTTTCTCTATGTTGCGGGAATTTTTCTCTTCACGCGCGGTTTTCTTCTCAAGCGACTGGTTATCAACGAATACAGCCAGTGCAAGGAGACCCCTAACTTGCTCTGTGATATACAATATTCCGGTGATGCTGACGGATGCTGGCTTAAGAAGAGATACGAAAAGGCCGTGATCCTGATCATCGATGCCTTACGCTACGATTTTACGGTATATAGTGAGACGTTAGACGAACAAGAGCCTCTACCGTACCGTAACAAGTTGAAAGTCATTCATGAAGTGTTGGAGAAAAAACCTGAACATGGAGCGCTCTTCCGGTTTGTCGCTGATCCTCCGACCACTACAATGCAGCGGCTGAAGGGAATCACAACTGGTGAGATACCTAGGGCTCTTTTAGTTGGACCATATAATAAGCTGTTACAAGTAGAACAGGACATGGAAAAAATAAGCGGTTTATACTTGTGTTTTTTTAAACGACAATACTAGCCAGGGAAACAGCTGACCTCCTAAGGACGGTTTTTACCATCTGTGGAATCGAGAGTTCGAGACAAAATTAAAGCAGCCAAGAGGAGCAGCCAAAATTTCCTGGAAATGAAATTTAAGAAAACGGAGGCATAAAAAGATTTATAGGTTCAACAGACTCAGAATGTTTCCATTTTCTTTGTTCCCTTTATTTCATCCATTCATTCATTCAGTCATTCAGCCATTCGTTTGTTTGTTCATTCGTTCATTCATTCATTCATTCTGTTATTGATAAATTCTATGGTGCAAGGCCCATACTACAGCAGGTACTTTAACAAACTATTTTTTAGAAGAAAGAGAAATCTAATAGCAGAAAGCTCAGAAAAATTTCAAAGCTCCAGATAGATTCAAAGTCATGACTCTCTGAGTTCTAGATTGGGTGGCCTGTTCTCAAATCTAATGGAGGCTACATGGCTAGAAGGGTAAAAAAATAATTATAATTAAACCAGCTGTGGTGAACTGTCGCGAAATTTATCTCCCACAACATCTTTTTCAGGAAGTCTACCCACATTTGTAGATGCTGGAAGAAACTTTGCCAGCTCAAATATCACGGAAGACCACATTATTTCTCAGCTGAAATCTTTGCAGAAAAACATAACCTTTATGGGTGACGACACTTGGGAAAGTCTATTCCCTGGCTTGTTCCACAAGTCCTATCCATTCCCATCATTTAATGTCATGGATCTACACACAGTAGACAATGGAGTCATTGCACATTTGATTCCAGAACTAAAGTCAAAAGACTGGGATGTGCTGATCGGACACTTTCTTGGTGTTGACCATTGTGGGCACAAATATGGTCCCAATCACCCTGAAATGGCCTCTAAGCTTACTCAGATGGACACCATATTACGGTACAGTGTATGTAGTGTTAAAAACAACAAGTTTTTCAGCTCATTCATTAATACCTTGTGATATACTGTAAACTGCCACTTATAAGCCGTGGGCTCATAAAACTTTGTAAGGTGTTTAGGAAGGCTTAAATACATTCATGTAGAAGCTTTGTAGGAATTCCCTTTAAATGTGACTGGGATGCCTGTCTGAGAAGTCAACAAAACGCTCCTTAAAAGTCACCAAAATGTTGTTTTGTGGGTGTGGCTAAAAGTTCATTTGGATTGTATGCTGTACAAGTAACTGAATAGTAACGGTGGCTCAAAAACGCATGGGCTAACTATTGGCTCATTTATGGTCATTGGCCAGGTCGTAACTTTCTTTCATCGTAAGTTATTGTTATCATTACTATGACCTTTTATTAGACATCCTTTCTTGAGATTTTTTGTGTTTTGTCTTCATAACTACCTTACAGCTCAGCAAACACATCTTAACAAATGGACAGACAGTGTCAATTTTTCTGTCACTTTTGAGGAAAAAATGTTTGATATTGTGTTCCCTTGAAGCTTTTCATAATCTTTTACTACATTCTTGTAACTGAGCTAAAACACCAAAGGTAATAATTTTTTTTTTTACTACATGATTACTTACTTATGTTGCAGTGATGTGATTGAAACACTGGATGAAGATACAGTGTTGTTTTTGATGGGTGACCATGGTATGACACGTACTGGTGACCATGGTGGTGACAGTAATGATGAGGTGGATGCTGCTCTATTTGTCTACTCACACAAGCCCCTTGTCACTTGCGACATGAAATGGGTGAGTGTACAATTGGTTAAGTTACTATCTTTTTATGACTAAGAGCTAAGTTGATTTCAAAATTTATCCATCATCCACCCATCAAATGCCTCATTAGTTCACAGGCAATGGCAATATTTGGCTCATACGTGATTTAAAAACAAACAAACAAACTTCACATTAGAATTTTATGTTGGCTCACAGCTGATGTTCCTTCAGAGGTTTAGAGCCCAGCCAGCATGGAAAGAAGCTGTATATTTGGGTTCTTACACACAAAAAGCGTTGCTCATTCATGCAAGATTCAAGCGGTCGCATGCAAGTAGCAACTTCTCTTACACGGAAAAGGCAAAGGTTCTTAGTGCGAGGTGAAGTAGCACAAAGGCAGGAGCTATAATCAAGGCTACTGTATGATGGGTATTTCATAGAAAGCAGGCATACACTTCTATTCCTTTTTTTTTCCTTTGAACCATCATTTCCATAACTGTATGTGTTTTTTTCTTCCTTTGTTATGCTTAGAAAAGAACCACAAGTGTCTCTCAAATCGACCTAGTCCCAACCTTCTCTCTGCTTCTTGGCCTTCCAATTCCTTTTGGTAGCTTAGGGACCATTATACCGGATCTTTTTTGTCATGGAGACGCAGTGATCTCTGGAGCTCTTTCAACAAACCACCTCAACCGTTCAAAATTACGAGAGGTTCTAGACTTTCTACAGAGAATTGCAGCTTTTGAGCTTAATGCTAAACAAGTTCACAGATATCTCTCTACGTACACTTCGCTCTCAACGGAAATCTCCATGAGTGCACTTAAAGAACTCGAAAAAATCTTAAACAACGCAACTTCATTCGTTTCCGAAATTAAACACGTGATGGACCGCGTTGGAGATGTCAAGGGGATAACTGAAAAACTAACTGACGAAGAACTGGTGCATCTTCATGAAAGATTGACCTACAGCGAGGAATTGTTCGTTGATTATCTCTCGCGGGCGAAGGCGCTCTGTCAGTCATTGTGGGCAAAGTTCGATCTGAATTTGGTATATGCTGGTATCTTTGTGTTATTTATTGCTATTACCGCAGTTGGGATGATATTGGTTAACAGAAATGTGAAGTTGCCAGTGCTGGTAATAGTTTCTTTATTAATCCTCGTTATTTCCTCCGTAGTAACTTCATTTAACTGTGAAGTCGTTATCATCATTATTACCTTTTTTATTACGGGATTAATACTTGGGATTTCTGTCCTTCTTCGGAGGATGATCGTTAAAAAGACAGAGGAAAACAATGGCGGCTTCTTTAGAAGACTTTCTGCAGACAGCATTTTAGCACTGGCTTTATGCGTTTTTCAATTTGCTGCCTCGTTTTCTAACAGCTTTGTGGTGAATGAGGACAAAATTGTCGCGTTCTTCATTCAGGCATTAATCACAGTTAAATGCGTTCAGGGCCTATGGAAATCTGGCCTGTGGGAAAACAGAAGACTCTTGCAAAGACAGAGTTTAAAGAAGTCTGGGAAAAAGGAGGCAAGGCGGCCCAGTGTAAATGGGTTTCTTATAAGGCTGTCTCTTACATGGATAACCTTTGAAATTATTACTAGAACTGCGGAAGGTCTGAAAGGTTGTAGAGAAGAACAATGGTATTGCGTGCCTTCGGATTTTCTCAAACCCTTATCTGCTTCAACAGAGGAAAGTTCTGCGTCAAGTAACCGTTTTTTACTTACCGTACTTTGCACGGGCGTGGTCCCGCTTTCTGTCCAGCAGTGGCTTCGTTACCAAGGAAACTTAAACGGACCTTCGTTTTTGGTATTGTGCGTGAAGTACGCTCTGCCGTTCTCTTTTTTCTTGATGTGCGCTCACTGGGCTTTGCAGATTGTCCCGCAGGAAATGAATTCTTTGCTGCCGGAAATTCAACTCTGGCAGCAAATTATTCTGCCACAGGTGGTCTACTGTCTTTGTGTCGTGACATTCGTATGCCTTCTGTACTCACCACTGTGTATCTACACCGTTTTCAGAGGAAGAAAAAATTCGTGGACGGAGACTATTGACTCCTTGCAGAATGTCGAAGATAGCTCTAAAATAATCCATGCGTTATTTAGAGAGATTAAGCAGAAAATGGATGATGTAGATGGCAAAAAACATCATGTTGAAGATGGTACTAGAGATGGAGAATCCACGCCAATGGTTTACGGTTTAGCAACAGTATATTCATCTGCAGTCTTGGTTTTATCCTTGGCTATTTTATTGCCTTTGATGATGCTACTTGGAAATGGAATGTCATTGTCTTTGGCTTTGATGTGTGCACAAATCCTCCTGTTGTTGGAGGTTCATGGACTGTCACAAGATCTTGAATCACAAAAGAGTGATGGCAGTATTCCAGGTTAGTTCAGCGCCATCACACGGTGCTTATTTCGCCTCAGTGGCGCTAGATTTTGTGTGTCACTTCTTCAAAAAATAGTTCTTATACATGTAGAAGCGACGTAATAATGAAGTGTTTGTTTGTCCTACCACCCTGTTCTAACTATTTGCCCGCTTAAAAACGAAAAGGGAACTATTAATAGCGACAGGGAAAAAATAGGCCATTTCCGAGTTCCAAAAAATCTCACTTTCAAAACGAGGCTAAGTTCGAAACCTTTGTTGTGAAAATGAGTTTTATTTTTATCATAATTAAAAATCATTTTCATATCAATAGCTTCGCACTTAGCCTTGCTTTGAAAGTGAGATTTTTTGGAACTCGGAAATGGCCTATCAGCCAAAAGTTGACCTGCGCATTCCCAGAAACAATTGCGGGACGCATCTCGACCCCAGTTTCCTTCGCATTTCTAAAGTTTCGACTGCTCTCCGGAAGTACTCTTTTGTAGAGCTACATATATAAGTCGGCCATCAGACAATGTCCGACTACAATTACCCATGTTCGACTAAAACCCTCGCCGTAGTCGGACATGATGACCACACTGTCCAATTGCCAATGACTATCGTTTTAACGTTGAAGATTTGCGTTGTGTTTAAAGAAATTAAAAGGTAATGAAATGTATTAATGTGTGACCGAAAGATTTTTGGCGCGTTCGACTCAAACGGCGACTTGGTGGGACATACTTTCTTTCTGATAAGATAAATTATATGCATGCAGTCCGGTTTAGATCTGGACGTTTCGACTCCGGTACTTGTCTTCCTTTATTACTTGTTCATACATAGTGATGTCATCAAGTTTGCAAACACTGCCTATTTCAATTGTAAAAGTGAAGTCATCAATCCTAATTGTTTACCCAATGCTGCTTTATCAGATCCCTCGTCGAGCGTAGTTGTCCTGTGGCACTTCCTCGCGTCATATTACTTCTACTGCACAGGACACCAGGCTACAATCCCCTCTATACGGTTCGAGGCTGCTTTTATTGGCTTTCCAGGAGATATGGAAAATATCGTTTTACCAGGTTAGTCAGAGAGCGGTATACTAACATGCTTCGGCAAAGCTGTGAGATTTCCTACAAATTACACCACGTTATAGTTAAACCAAGGCCGAATTGACTTCAGAGACGGAATCATACTCTTAATGCTGAGATTAATTACCGTGTACTCGTTACTTTTGACAGCCCTGTTAAAAGAGGAGAGAATACAACTTCGAACCCTTTTCTTATCCCGAGACTAAACTAACATGTTTTTTTTTGGCTCAAGTTTCTTTCATTCTAGTGACAAGTAATATAGCCATTCTATTGCTCTAACAAATGTTCACCTTTTCGATTCAAATTTCAGGTCTGCTTATTCTCCTCAACACATTCGCTGGGCCAGTCTTTTTTGCCGTTAGTCTTCCTCTTCTCCTGTTTTGGCCCCAAATTCCGAACCGTCTACTAGGGACTGGTAACAAGAATGAACAGCAGTCAAGTAAAGGAGAATTTGATTGGATCGAAGCCCCGGAACTGCTGAGAACCCGGATGTTTCGCCTCATTGTCATGTACCAGATGCTTAATGGCGTTAAGGTTGTTCTATATTTCCCTTTTGAAAATAGATTCCAGTCTTTGTTTCTGTCGCAGTCTTGGCACACTTGCTGCGAAAAGAACTTCCTAGCCCATAGCCGTTCCCTTTCCTGATTATTTTGGGACAAATGCAATAATTTCTAGTAATGAAATGGCGTGAGAGAAAACCTAATAATCTTGTAGCCTTTGAAATCTTTACTGAGCGGCTAAAACTTTTGCCTGGAAATTACCTTCGGTGTTTGTCTACGTACGTGATGTATTACGCTGATAACATTCCAAAGAAGTCTGTATGTATTTGTTAACAAATTTCGTCCACCAAGACGTTCCTAGATATCCATATGTATTGAATGCATGATCAGTAGATTGCAAAGACCAAGACCTAAGTAAACTGAACTCTAACTGAGAAAATATTAGAAACTTTTTAAGAAAACCTGCGAGAATGCTTTAAGGTCTTCATTCTTTTATCAAATAAACCAACACACACTTCTAAACTGATTCACGAACACGTTCTCGTTCATGCACAAATTCTTCGTCTTGCTGCTTTATCTATTCATCGTACTTTATCTTAACTTGGATGATTTTTTTTTTACAGCTTTTGGGAACCTGTTGCTCTGCCGCGTTGCACCGCCGTCATCTTATGGTGTGGAAGATTTTCGCCCCGCGATTCGTTTTTGAGGGCGTCTCGTTCCTGTTGACCACAATCGTGCTGGCTGCCAGTTTTCTGTCAGTTCTCAGAGTGGATCAGGCGTTGCGAAGCTGGTTTAAGAGACTTGAGACATCCGATGAGTGGAAAAATAAGAACAGATAGTTCATTTTTTCTTCACATCCTTTGGTGTGTAATCTTAAATCACAGTTTAATTCTCGATCTTTAAAGGCGCCTTTGTCTAAGTACCGTTTACATGAAATGTTTCTTTCTTAGCCAGACTGATGACGACAAGAACAATAATTTTTTTTCAACCTGTGGAATTGTAATAAATATAACTTCTTTAATATGCTTTTATATTTACTTTTCAAATTTTGTTGTACAACTACTGCAGGCTTCTGCGTACTCTTTGAGAGCTTACCCCTTAGTTTTGCCTCCGAAAAATTAATTTTGCGACTAAATGCGACCTTAGCGGGTTTCACTTTCAAATTTCAAAGTTCAGCATGCAAACTTTTTCTCCAAATTCGATCGGTATTTCTCTTAGAATTAATCAGCTTTGGATAAAAGTAGGTTACTTCCGGGATTCCTTTTAACAGCTTGTCGATTACTTCCACTCCCTGCATGAACGAGTGGTCCTGACTTGAAACCTCGTACCGCCAGCCGCCGAACCGACCACGGGAGTAAATGTTCTTGGATTGCAACCAAGGTTGGACGTTTTCAAGAATCATTTCCCTGGCGATCGAAGGAACCGGGTATCCATGACCAAGCCGCCGGTAATACTTTGAAACGATCATTTTTGGTGATTTAACAAATCCGTATGCGATTAGCGCTTGAATGGTACTTTGAATTAAATGCCGTTTTGTCCACTTTTCAGGGCTGGAGTTATGTTTTGGCTCCGCTATCTCGAACATGAGGGACCACTGTTGACCAGGCTTTGGAACGTGACCCTTTGCGTAACTTGAGAACACTGTTACTCTGTAGAATGGCGAGTCAGAATCAGGGAAATATATCCAGGTCATGTTTGCTAGCATCGAAGGAGGTTGACCTGTTAGTCCAATTCCTATCACGTGTGTGCGCGAATAAACCAACTGAGATGCTAGTTTTCTCATCTCCTGTAAATATCCATCCCTTCCTTTTATCATTTCAATAACTAACAAGTCGAGTGGTGCAGTTGATATCAGTGAAGCGTACTTCATTTTGTAAATGGAGTTATTGCTTTCGGTTCCCAACTTAACAGTGACAGTCATTGAGTTAATATCTATGTCAGTCACTGTGTGATTGTACCTAAACCACTCACGGGGAAGGCTATCAGCAACTGCCTGCCATATGCCCCCTGTTCCATTGTACCTTGGAAATCGAAACATTTTATTTGGTCCCCACCCCAAGTCTCTTGTGGTAGTTCCATCGACGTGCTCTGCGATCTTTCGCTTGATTTTAGCAATATCTGGAACAGCAACTCGTTCATTCACCCAGTCAGAGTTCATTTCCGTGGTATTCACGGTCCAAACTTTCCTGTTGTATTTTCTCATGAACACGTCACAGAGACCGATACCAAAGTTGCGTAGAAGCCACTGGTCAAAATTTGCGGGTTTTTCTTTCACTGGATGTTTAGCGACTTCTTCGAGGCCTGCCAGAATTTTCTGTTGGTCCACTTTGTCCATCACCTCGACGTAATTCTGCACTGGGTACGGAATAAATCTGCGTTTGTCATCGGAACCCTTCATGAAAGTATATGCACCTCGTCGTATCCAATTCCACTCCTTAATGACACTGTCAAGGGTGGCGTGGAAATACTCGTAATGTGAAAATACTACATGGCCCCCCATGTCCCAGAGGAAACCTTGTTCATCTCGCTCAGAAGACGCGAGTCCCCCAGGCTTTCCATTTTGTTCCAGAATGATCACTGATAAGTTTGGAAACTCCTCTTTTGATTCATATAGACGTTGAGCGGCTCCTAAAGCTGTTGGGCCTGAACCGATGATGATGATAGGGAATTTACTGCTACTATATGTTTTTTGTTTACGCCGGGACCCAACTCGATCTGTAAAGTATAATTAACGGGGAATGAGCTGACGCCATTCATTTGAGCTAACAATCAACAGTCTTTTGAAAGACCGCAGATTAATTTTTGGAGCCGTAAGCAGTAGCAAAACAACACAGACGCAACTTTTTTTACGATGTATGTACATTTTAATGGCTGTTTCATTTGCATTTTAACCGTTTTATCGATTTTACGATACATCCTTACACAAATCCTCAAAATTTGTCTTCGAGTAGGCTGTTTTGAGTCTGGATTCGCTGTGGTTTAAAGGGCTGTGTCACGGCAGTCCAGTTCATTTTGTTTAATTTTGCTAATTACTCGCCCTCAATCGCTATGGAACTTTAAGTAAGCAAAGAAATTACATGTAAATGACAAAATCAGAGTTCCGAGACAAACAAATATGTCTCCTGAGCATTATTTTTGAAGTTGCAAGCAGCAGGGATCAACTTTAAAAAACTGTTAGGCTGAACAGTTTTCAAAAACCCTAATTGCAATCCGTTTCAATCTTCTTCAGTTTTGCCCATCTGTGGCATCTGTTGTTTCTGTTATGTTATTTTTATGCTTCCCTTTATTTATCGGGCATTATGTAATTTCCTAATTTGGCAGAATTTCGTGACACAGCTCCTTTAATCAAAGGATTGGAACACTTCGCCCTCGAATTTTTAACCAGTGATAAAACGCTGCTGTTTGTGTTTAAACATTACAAAAATCGATTAGAGAGACTAGAGTATTTTGCAGGTTGAGGAAAAGCATTCTATATGTAACTGGGTAGATCTAAAGTAGTTTAAAAAGAATGTGCACGTTTTATAAGTTGATATTGCAAAAGAAACTTCGCGTTCAGAGCGAAAAAAGTTACTTCTTGTACTTGTAAACATTGTCTACTTAATTGCCCTTTAGAACGGCGAATGTCATGGCATGTTTTTCTTCTTTCATGTCGTGTTTTTCCAGTGCTTTTCTTACTACAGTGTAAACGATAAATATTCGTGTCATGTCTTGATGGTTTCCTAGTAATTTTTTGTGTTACTTATCCTTTATCATTCTTGAAGCTTGTTGGAATCGAAATTGACACGTAGTAATACGTTAATAGAATGAGGATCGAAGTTCACACGCTACCATGCATCTTTTTGGTGTATACTCGAAATTGTAAGGGGTGCTTGACTTATAGAACGAGACATATTCGTGTTTTTGTTAGTGCAAAACTAGTTATTAACATGTCATTTTTTGTGCAGTGGAAATTAACATACCGTAGTTGTTGATACGATGTCATCTTCTGTGTAATGGACACTGAAACGCCGTCGTTCGCTTAAACTGAATCTAAGGGTGTGTTGCAGTTTACATAACAAATGGTAAAAATTCCTTAAAATTCGCAGAGGGCTTAGACGAAAACTCGTTAATTTGTGAAATCTTGCCATAGATCTCCAAGCTTAAGCTTGTATCTTTCGTTTTCCCAATGGAGGTCTCGGGAATTCCCCCCTTTGTTTCTTCATAAATTATGCATACCCGTATATTCACGGAAATACGGCGAAATTTCAATGAAACCTACAATGGTAAAACAAAACATGCAAGCTAAAGAGGTCTATATCCATAAAAATTGTACGATCCACAGCGCTGAAAGAGAACATTTTTGTTAAATTCGAACAAGGTTTTGACGAACTTGTCAAACATGTAAAACTTAACTTTGAGGCGCGTTGATATATTTACATACCTTGGTATGGCTTTCGCGTTTTTCGCAATTGTAAAAAAAAAAAACAGTTCTGAAATTATTTATTTGCAAAATTTTTACCCATATAGAAAATTCAAATCATAGGAAAAATGATAAAAATCTAATAGTAACAGCATATACAGAATATGTTTCGTCAAATACACAACTTATCAACTAGTTTTTCTGGGAAATCCCACTTTCGTATCTTGTATTGTGAAAGATCATACGTACGGAGCAGATAAATATGCGTTTTACTTGTTCCAGTTTATCGAGCAATTTTAAAAGATTTAAGATTTTCGAAAAATAAAATGAACTTGAGAAAGCTTGAATCACGAAAGAATGCCTTTTTTCCCATTTTTCTATTAAAATCGCGAAAATAATATTATTCACTTTTACCTAGGCCATCCCAAAAAATTCCTAATCTTGCAACTTTTGCATCGGCCAATCTTGGACATGAGAGCAACAAAAAATATATATGATAAGCCATCAAATCATTTGAAGCAACTTTGCTTTAAAACAATCCGAAGTCTGATCAGATGCAAGTCATTCAACAGACAGTGCGGAAGTCAAACTTACCGAAGTAATATGGCTGCTGCCTGTTGTATTTCTTCGTCCATTTTCCACAGAAATATAGAAGGCCAAGTCCTAAGACTACACTAAAAAAGATCACTACTTTTAAGCTCATGTTCGAATACAATCAGCCGAAAAAAT